CACATATATATATATATATATATATATATATATATATACATACATATATATATATATAAAATAAGTCATAAAATATAATAGAATTGATCAGAATCGGGACTAAACATATATTTCGGCGCAAGGCAAAAGAAAAAAGTGTGCCCTCTGTATATATTACAAACGAATGAAATACATTTACTAAAGTCACAGTAAAATAAAAAAAATTATTTATACATTTGTATAAATAATTGTGCCATACAAAACCATTGCACAAACAAACAAAACAAACAAAACAAACAAATTTGTTTAAATAAACTCAAACCAGAGTATAGGTGTTTCTTATTATATACATATATTTTGAGTCATTAAATCCAAATCCATAAAAACCATTTACGTTCTATCATGTCCAATTTTTTAAATAATTTTTAGAGATACAATGATGAAAACAGAGGAAGATTTGTTAAAAAAAAAAAATGTTTGAGATAGACCAAAAATAAATAAGACATTAAAATGCGGCATGACTGCAAATTAATTGTTAAATTTATTTTATTAAATAAAGTATAAGAAGGAGAAAAAAATTTTGCTATATCAGTCATCGAACCTGGATAGTAATGGGAGAAATAGTCGTAGACATGAAAAGTTACATCTAATGTCGAGCACTGCTATATTATAAGCATTAGTAGTAGATAGAAGATCGTCAGATTTAGAACATTAGCGTTTTTATCGATAAAAGCGTGCTTTTCTAAAATTCTACAATATGCGTATAATGTAAACTATATAGCATGTATTAGCATTTCTAAGTACCAGAGTCTCATAAAATTCTAAAGAATTAAAAAATATTTTTTCAAAACTTGAAAAAATGTGCATGTAAAAATAGCAAAAAACTAACTTACACTGAGAAAAATTTGGTTATTATAACATTTTACTTGTGTTATCAGAAGCAATTAGTAAAATGTTATAATAACCGAACATTTTTGCTTCCAATTATTTTATTCCAGCAAAATAAAAGATGTATTTATCCATATCCAAACAAGATAAATTGATTCAATCAAATGGAATTCTCAGTGTATTAACTTACCTAACTTCCGTAACTTATCTTCCAAAAGTAACAATTAAAATCCATTTTTGAAAAGATCATCTATGATTAATAAATATGAATATATATATTAATATGTACAAACATACATAAATATGCATGTATAACCATAAATAACCATGTATGTCCACACATATTCATACATCCCTCTTTTTTTTGTAAAATTATCTTTAAGTGTAATAAAAATAAAAAGTGTAATAATAGTAATGTGAAAACATATAAAATAATTAAAAGTGTAATTTTCACACTATTTGTTTTAGAAAAAAATCAATTTTGAAGAAATATAAAAAAATTACTTGTGTATAATTATATATAAAATTATGCATAATTGTTTGTATGAGCAATTTTTTCTACATTTTTCCAAGCTTGTTTCTTTTTTTCTAAAACGAACAATGCAAAAATTATTCTTTTAATTATTTTTAATGTTTTTATATTATTATTATTATTTCTATCACATTAAAAAGTAATTTTACAAAAGAAAAAGGGAATATGTATGAATATGTATGAACATATTTCGATCATATATAATTATACATGTTTACGAATATTTATGTATGTTTATACATATTTATACATATTCATGTATGAACAATTTTTTACATAGCAAACGCTCAATGGCAGATATACATACTCACTATTAGCGAATGAATTAAAATATGTAGAAATATAAGTCCTTCAAATTTTTAAATATTTTTATAGACAAGTGCCTCGTTTGATCCTAGTCCCGGCTCTGAAACTAACTATTAATCTTTCTTAACGAGAAGATGTAATCAACATCAAAGTCGCAGTCCGATTTCAAAAAGTTTTTAGTTTTGTGAATTTTTATCGATTCACTGATTGATCACTCACTTTACTGTGCTTTTAGCATTTTATATTTTTTGGCAATTTTATAATTTTATTATTTTAAAATTTAAAATTCACACTTTTTTAATTCTTTTTCTTCCGTCATCGACCATAGATTGTGCCAACCATCGAATCCGTACCGAAAACGAGAGTCTACAGTAAGTGAGACTACCACTACGACAGTGATAGGCCTGAATTCCACCACGACATTTCACCTTGATAAATCCAAAGGGGTTATTTCGGAAGCACTCAACGAGTGATATAAGATTCACTATAGAGATTTTAATGTAGTGGAACAAATCCCGTCGCATTGTTGCAATTAGTAATATCGCAGATTGCATCACTCGATTAATTATGTTCTTTACACAAATGGCGGACCATTGTATAATATATGAAAATAGTTGCAATTCGCAATTCGCTTTCCTCGAGATTCTATTATTCTACAATTAATTTTTTGAAAGAAATATTCTCGATACTCGACACATTTATTCGATATTTTCACATCTCGCCAAAACTGGACAACTCTCACATATATCACTACAGTATCTTGCTGCGGTCTTGTTGGATTATAATATCGAATGAGAAATTGTACATAGATTTTTCATTTTTGATGCTCATATGTGCAACATAGTAACTTATCGATAATATTTACGTAAAGTATGCAAAAAAAATTCACTTGTATAATAGACTAATCAATAATTATCAATTAATTGTCTAATTAATTATCATCTTTTTTGAAAATATATAATATAAAATCTAGACATTATAACATGTATCTAGATTGTATTGCACATTATTTATTTATTAATGCAGGAAAAAGCTGAGAGAAATTATTTACGGTATTTACAGTATAAAAATAAATTCATTTTTATGTATAGTGCAAACAAACAAAAGATTTCATTCTTTCGCCTTTGATTCAATAACTCAATATAACTGCAGAAAAAACTGTGTAACATATTCAGAATCTCAATTAATAGATATACATATGTGTATATAATTCTTAAGTGTTAATTAGAATTATAAGAGGAATCACAGAAATTTATCGACAGATAAATTTCTATTGATCTGCGTTGAACTTTGTGCTGCAGATAATAGATATTGACATCACTATACAATAATAATTCTCATTATCGTTATTACATAATAAAAAAAAACCCAGATGAATGTCATAACGCAATATACATATAGCTTTTGACATTGAAGCGAGAAGTAGCGGCGAACTGAAAGTAAAATAATCATAACTCGATCTCTACGATCACTATTTCTTATTCACAATTAGCGTTCACAAATAGCGTGTTGCGTTATAGTGATATATCTAAGCTATACTTGTGTGTGAATTTTACGATAAATATTTTTCGTTAAAAGATTTTGTAGATGTTAAAAAGATTTCGTAGGCATTGCGTTCATGTCGACGGAAAATTAATTTCTCTCTCTCTCTCTCTCTCTCTCTCTCTCTCTCTCTCTCTCTCT